CTCTTTCAATAGATAATTTCAATAAAGAACTTAATATCATCAAGCAAATTGCGGTCAACAATGGGTTTAAAGCCGAATTAATAAACGAAATATTTGCCAAGAAAGTCAACGCAAAAGCGATTCGAGACGTTTTTCCTATTGATAAGATAGATAATCAAAATAATAGAGCTTTAACGTATTATTATTATTAATAGGCTTCAGGTGATCACAATTGAATAGGTACCTTAGGTAGAGGTTTAGATAATTTTTTGGAGGTAGTCTCAGTTATGGTTACCTGTAGTATATAAATAATGATGTAAGAAACAATTTGAAGTATTCAAATCACTTGACAAAGCTACTGTGCTTGCCAAATATGTGATTATATTTTTCAGAGATCAAATCGCGAGGTGTAGTTTTTGATATTACTAAGGTTTTCATCAAGTAACGGGCCGAATCAATCAGAAAAATAAAAATAAACAGTCAGTAACTTTTTGTATTCATGTATTTTGACTAAAAATTAAAAAATCAATTGAAAAAATTAATTATTGTTACTTACCTTTCTCGAATAGTTAACGTTTCGGAAAACAATCCTTTTTCGTTTCCGAAACCTGAAATTCACTATAAAAATATCGCCCAAAACTGTGATAGTTCCAATTTCTTTTGACACAAGCCAAAAGGATAAAATGTCGAGGTGTCACACGCGACAGTCTACATGAACACACATACTAGATTTTTTTTTAAAATGGAGTTCAGTTAAGGTTCATATTTTCGTTTTCTTAGTAATACCAACCAGGTACGATCCATTTCCTTAAAGCTATCCGAAATACACTTGTTAACTGCTAAAAGAATATATGCGGATTCTTTGAGTTTTCTAATTTTTCGTGGGTTTCTTTGGTGATGATATTTGTTTCACTCCATTCTTTACCGTGATCAGCAGATGATTTTAGAATATGTTCCGCTAACCCCGATCCTGCGTTCTCCTTATACAAGGTGTTTATTAAACATGCGGCAAAAATTTGGGGGACTATTCCTTGGACTATTCTAAGGATATTTTGTCTTTGATAAGTTTTGATAGAGCGCTTTGTTTTGGAGATACGGAGCGAAAAAGAATTTCGACAATAACAATTTATTACCAAAAATTACATGTAATGTTTCTTAACCTATGAATGCAAAAATCCAATTTTCTCATCGACTTCCGAACTCTTTCAAAAACACCAGGATCGTTTCTGATTGCGTTGTACCCAGCAATTATCCGATTTCTCAAATCTTACGCTAGTTGCACACACACACACCGATTTTGGACGGCCGACTTTGTACCGTTCGTCCAAATTCCAATAGTGAACCACATGTGGGAATGGGACATGGCACACACGCCGACCGGTGATCTTCGCTGGTAAAATACCGGTGAGCAGCCGTCCACTGCCACAGTACCGGGAAGTAGTGGCGTAAATAACTAAATACACTCTTGCATACTCACCGGTTTCTTACCGACCATTCCAGTCTCGAATGCTCTTTGAAATTGTAGTTACTACGCATTAACTTCGTTTTGGTAGTGCGTGCTAATTACGACAACAAAGCAACTGATTGTTTGACCGATAAAAATCCGGTGAGTGTGCAAGCAAACGCTACCAATAAAATATCGGCCGACTAGCGTAACGCTAGTTACGCCAAAATCGGTTACGCCAAAATCGGCCAAAATTGGTGTGTGTGTAACTAGCGTAACGCTAGTTGCACACACACCNTTTTTACTTTTCAGTTCGATTTTCTTTGAAAGCGAGTTTTTTAGTTTTCCAAACTATATTTATTTATATATCTACCAACCTTCTATTATGCTATGTTGATGTTATGTTGAGCTGGTAATTTACTTAACTTTCTTGATGACTTTCCTGTGTATCAATTTTTTTTATTCTGCAACTGATAGTTCGAGACATTACTAATTACTAATATTATCTTGGAAATATTTCTCTGAACACTCTCAACAAACTCTTGTTGCTTTCGAATCAAATATATTTTGAATAAGTATATTTCCCGAATCCAGAGATAAGCGAATACGAGTATATGCGTACAGTACGTGTGGTCTGTCTTTCCAAAGTCTTTGATTTATTAGTTGGGATCAAATATTTAATCACTTTGTACCACTTGTTATCATACATATTGAATCACTGTGCTACTAACAATGTATTTAATATTCAATTATTATAGATAGCATTATGATGGGAAAATACAGAGAGTATAGAGAATTCAAACTCGGCAAAAATGTTCACCAGTTTTTTCACACAGAAATCTCTGATTTGCATTGTCGAATTGAAATTTTCATGGGAGAAAAATTTATCAACCATAATGCGCGGTTGATTCATTCCATCTATTTGTATTTCTTAGTCAAAATACATTCGATATTTTACATTTTTAGATTTTTATCGAAAGTGCAAAATGATTGAACTCGGGTTTATGAATGAGTCTTGTAATAAACCATGTCACCGAACAAGCTATAGATTTCTATGGCTAATGTGATTATCTTGTTTATTTTCGATAGCACTCTATGTAATGTATATCAGTGTATGCGATAATAAACATGTTATTATAAAAACATATTATTATAAATAACCATGAACGGATATAGCTCTCAACAATACGTGCAAATACTAAAATTGTTTTATCGTGTTAGGAATCACACGTTAAAAGGTAAGACCTCGTTAATCCTTAGCTCGCACAAGTTTCGACTTCTGAGGGTTGTCGTTCGTAGGGGTGCGACAGCTGGTTAACGGAAAAACAGATTTTAAACAGATAAACAGAAAATGTTTGTTCTGTTCGGCAACGTACCGCGCACTTGGCCCATTTTACGGTCGCCATAGTCGTCCTACCGAAAGGACTATCTACTAGTTGAAGAAAAAGAATATATATTATTGAAAAAGGTAATCCAAATACACACTTATTATATAAAACATATTACTAACATATGAATTGAAAATAAAAATTTTTAGTTTGAAAAATAACGACATATGCTATTAAAAATACATCGCAATTTAGGTGCAGCTCCAATACAATGTTAAAAAGCAGAAAACAACATACAAATACTATATTTATTAATATTATCTTACGAAGTATTACTCTATCTAGCATTGTGGATGGATTTCAATAACTGTTTTTTAAAAATACTTTATGATGGACTAGATTTAATTTTATTTGGTAATTTATTGTATGCATCAAACCCTTTGTAAAATAAAGAATTCATGGCACTTCTCCTATTTGTTCTGCATAAATGCAAATAAATTAGTATGGTTTCTTGTGGCATATTTGTGCACTTCTGAATTTAAACTAACAAATTCAGAAAAATATGAAG